TTCAGATCCTCCAAGATGATGGCGAAGGCCAGGTCCGTGGAGAACGCCTCGTTCTCCTCAAAACTTCAAAACATATCTCGAGACTCGACGCCGCAAGCGAAGCAGACCCAGTCCTGCTGAAGCAGCTTCAGCTCATCTGCTGCTTCATCACCTAGACTTCGAGTCTCCAGATCTCATGAGCCTCGTGCACGGGGCTCGGGCCGATGAGGTCCGGTCGCTCCGAGAGGGTCTGTCCGATCTTCACGAAAACGGGGCCCAGCTTGGAGAGAGCGGTGCGGAGCTTGGCGCCGCGGGTGCGCTGCTCCGGTGGCAGCTTTTCGTCCTAGCCCCGAGAGAAATATGGGAAATCCGAAGCCATCAGCCTAACCGAAGCTTCCGGCCTGGTGCCAATGGTCCCAGCAGGGCCAAAGCTCCTGGACGATCTCCGACCACCGCCACGCGATCTCCCCCGGCCGAGAGCCTCACAATTGCGACGGCGCAGCTTGCATAGGATTGCACAGGGGCCTATTGAGGGACTGAGGTTGCGGGTCAGCCGAGAGCAACAGGATGCAACAGGATGCAACAGGATGCAACAGGCTGCAACAGGATGCAACAAGACGCAATAAAGACACGAATGACACGAATGACACGAATGACACGAATGACAGGCGGAGGGGCTGAAGAAGTCCAGCAGGCGCTCACGGTCAAAGCGTCGGGGCAAGTCGTCGTAGTCTGTGAGCCGAGGCTGCGCCCCTAGGATGGGGTCTTTGTCGCCATCGTTGAAGCGCAGCCCCAAGCGCTCCACGGGGTTCGAGGGCAGCCAGTTGGTGAAGGTCGACCCAAAATGGGTTGCCAGGGCCACGGCCACGGCCAAGGTCGCAAGGCGCCGCGCCATGACTGCAGGCTGCGAGCCAAAAGAGGGCCAATGGCCAATGTGACAATGCCACACTCCAAAGGCGCATCCAATCTCAAGCAACCATTTCAGCCCCGTTCGGGATGCTTGCGCCTCCTGGGGTCGCACGCTGAAGCGGCCTGGAAGGCATAGCATGACACGCATGCCATGCATTGCCATGGCTCAGCCGGTCAACTGAAACCGTGAAACCCTTCAGTCCCCTTCGTCCCTTCGCGCGATTTCGTCCCCTTCCTCCCATGGACGAGTCGGACGACGGTGTGCCTTGCACCGGCGCAAACGCAGCTCCGCCGGGCGCAGGCTGCAGTCCTCTGACAAGGTGAATGGGTGAACGACTCGTTCTTTCTCAACCGAGCCGTGCCTGGGTAGGCCTCCTCGGATCCCAGAGCTCTTTGCGATGTGCGCAACTTGCACTTGCAAGTAGTTGCAAGTTGCAAGTTGCAAGTAGTTGCACTCGGCATTCACTCTTTCAACCTATTCCAAAGCGCGGCAAGGTCCGGGCCGAGTAGGTGGTCACCTTGGGCCTTGGGGTTCTGGGCGTCGGGGGCTCGTCCTGCCCAGCATCTCGCGCCCGGGCATGCCCTCGGCGCCAAGCTGTCCCTGGCGAAGACGCCCCCCGGCGCAATGAGGCTTGCCACCTCCCGGAACCGACGAAAGACTGCAATGACTGGACATGAGATATCAACGCAAACGCGCGAGTCTCAGCACCTGGTCCGCCTGGATCTTGCGGCCCTCCTGCGCGCAACCGCAGCTTTCGCGCTCCGCTGCGTTCAACTGAGAAACTCCAAGCATCTCTTTTCTGGTTTGAAACCGCAGGCCCCGTTGTTCGAGGCAGTTCACGCAGCTTGAGATCGTCGGCACAGGGGGCATTGGTCGTTGCATCTCAGCCAACCAGCAACGCACTCCTGACGCGTCAAACAACATGGCTCAGTGCTCAAGAGATGTCAGCAAAGAATGACTAGAAGCAATTGCTTCCACGAAAGCTGTCCACGTGGAAGAAGTGCCCACAACTCAGCTCCGTCAGCAGATTGCCATCCTAGCCATAGACTCCCGCACGCACGCTGCGCATGAATTGAGGACCTGGAACTGCTCAAGGCAAATGGAGCAGCAGCTCTCCTGGAAATGCACACGTAAAATATTGCCAAATGCACCTCGGACTCGGAAGCTCAGCATCCTCTGGAGCTTCCGGATGGCCAAACTGCACCCTGGGCAGCGCCTGGATTTCCGCCTGAACTGAAGTCGAATCCGTAAACTGGGGCTTCGGATGGGAGTCTTGTCCACTGACATGCGTTCGATGCTGGGCATGACTTTCATAGTAATGCATGGCGCCTCGGAGAGTCGCTGGGACAGGGCCCGACCAATCTCCATGACTCGGTCCACCGATCGCAGAAGCACCTCTTCCAGGAACTGCGAGTTCCCAGGCAGCCGGCGGAGCACCTGAAAGTTCTGAAAGAAAGACGCATGCGTTGCGCATGCGTTGCGCATGCGTTGCGCATGCGTTGCGCATGCGTTGCGCATGCGTTGCGCGCGCAACGCATATGCAAACCAATCGATTCAATCGATGCCGACATTTCTGTTCTTGCACTCGTCTCAGGGTCTCAGGCATGGACTGCGTCAAAAGCGGCTGCAGTCTCCAGGTCGGAGCCTTCCGAGATCTCGGAGAAGATCGTGTGGGCCGTGGCATCCTGCGCACATCGGAATGCTCCTTGAACACCGAACTGGCGCTGTCCAGCACGTCTGGGCTAGCATCCTGAGCGAGTTTGGACATTCGAAGCTCCAACCTTGAGCCCGTGCCTGCGACACTGGTGATCGCAGGTCTGGAGCCGTCGCAGACAGGGCGCTCCTGCGCCATCCCAAAGCACCCAGGCCCCATGCGGCCAATGAAAGTGCCAAGACACGTTGGGCTTGATGCCAGCGAGGCCTCGTGAGTGGGCCAGTGCTCAAGTCCGGGGCCCTCGGTTGCAGGGCCTCGTCGCGGGTCGACATCATCTGCCCTGGGCGCGTTAGCGTGGCGCATAGCGCACGCCTTGTGCCATGGTTGCCACGGCCGGGCTGCGCACTCAAGCGGCCTTGCAGGTCCGGTGACGTGGCCCCAAGCTCCTGGGACTCGCTGGGACTCGGGACGTGGGACCGACATTGCAACATCTGGCTCCTGGGTGCTTTGGGATCTGCTGGCCTGCCAGAACCGAAGGCCGCGCGAGGGCGAGGCCATGTTCGCGCCTCCGCCATCTGTCGGGCGTCTGCGGCGCCTTAGGCGGAACGTGCGCATGAAGACCCACGGTGCGTTCGGCGCACGGATCGCCGGCACCTCCGTGCTATACGCCTGGGCAACTTCGGGCTACACGGCGTCTTTTCGGCTGCGAGCCCGTGGCATAGAGCGTGGCACCGAGCAGCGGCTGCCTGCGCAAAGCAAAGGCGCAGCGGCCACGGGTGAGGTGTTGAGCCGCCTGTCCGAGCGGAGCGTGGACCCCATCGAGCTCCACGTTGCCTCGAGAGTGAGCCGAGCCCAGCGGAAAGGCACCGGTCCAAGGCCTCAAACAGGCCTCCGCATTCCGCGTCCCTCCGCATCTCTCCGTATCTCTCTGGCTCGTGACATCTGGGCACCCGGCCCCGCAGCGCTGAGCGGAGGATCTGGGCTCTCGCTTTACCCGTGCAGCTATGTGCCCTTCCCACTGGGGCATGCTTCAGAACGAACTTTGATTCGAGAAATCGGTATGGGATTGCTGTTCGAAAGCCCTCTTCATGCTCAAGCCGCCCTAAGCAGGGCTCCCCATATTTCCCCTTACAAAACGTCAGCCCCACCAAGGGACACTCACCTTTCATGGGCAAAACGGTGATGTTTGAAACCGCCAAAAAGGGAAATAAATGACCATGGCACATGCAGTGCTGTAGGGATGAGGGGGACATGACTCGAAAGTTCCAGCCATCATCCCAGTCTTTCAAAGATTGCGCAAGTTGCTAGCTCCCGCACAGCTAGCCATTGCCGAATACGTCACGCTCGAGTTGAGCTCCATGGCATCTTCAACAGGTGTTCCATTCTTTAGAACGGCAAAGCCAAGTCCTCGCATCTGCTACAATCCACAATGCAGTTGGTGGATCTGTTTGCAAAGTGGGACCTTGCCAGGGCTGCATAGACCATTGAAATTGATCCTCAGGAAGGAGATGAGGCGCCGGCTTCAGATGCGCGACGAGCTTCCAAGGTGGCATTGCTCATGTCCCGGCCAACGCACAAGCAAGAGGATCTATGCATATCATATGATCGCAGCTGATGCATATGGCTCATGTCTCCAAGTTGGCTCATGTCTGCGAGTCTGCTTTGCCCGCTGAAGCCATCGGACAATTGCAATGCATGTCACTCAACGCGACGCATGTGCCACGATGTGCCACGAGGTGCCACGAGGCGCACATATGCGCGTCCTGCTTCGCCAGCACCAAGTTCTCAGCACAAGCAGAGGTGGATGGCAGAGGTGGCAGCAGCTGAGCTCCCAGCGCCGCACTGGCTGAAGGGCATCCCTGAGCCTTCAAGCTTCTATTTAGCTTCTAAGCTGCTAGCTTGCTTTGCGTCTACGTGATAGTCTAATTCCGGCCGAACCTCGCAATCCTTCCACTGGAGCCAAGGCAGCGATGCAAGCGATGCAAGCGATGGAAGCGATGCAAGCGATGGAAGCGATGCAAGCGATGCAAGCGATGCAAGCGATGCAAGCGATGCAAGCGAGCTGAGAAGAAAAAGAGGGAGCTCTGCGTGCGCTTCTGCGTCGCTTCCACGTCGCATCTTCATTTCTCCTTCAAGCGCCAAGTCCAGGGTAACCCGACCTCAGCCGGTCCAGTTCTCTCAACGGCCATCTCGGCCATCTGATTTCAATGCCACGGCACGAAGCCCAGCCGATGAAGGCCATGGCAACCAGCGACAGGCCATAGTAGGCCGTGGGATTCAGCTCCTCTCGGATTAGCGAGGCGCGGAGCGGCCCAGAAGCGCAACAGCCGAAGTTCAGTCCCGATGGCGGAGGAGGTTTTCCACCTGCCACTTGCTGGATGGGCCATGGCCCGGCCCCCATGCCGGCCATGCCGGCCATGCCGGCCCGGCCCGGCCCGGCCCGCCTGGTGGCCCTTCAGGATGCGAAAGCGGAAGCGGTCCTTGAGATTCTTGGAATCAGAAGGCGGACCTGTCGTTTTGTCGCTTGGCGCGCAAGAAACCGCGGCATCGACTCTTGGCCTTCATCGCAGCCCGGCGAGACCAGGCGGATGTTGCAGTCGGCACCCTCGCCGGTCCCGGCCTACCAGGTTACCAGCGTTCCCGAATGCATCGGCCCGCGCTCTCCGGACTCTCCTGAGCCACCATAGGCCGAGCCAGGATGGTGACCTCACTGTCAATGTCAAACGTAGCTGGAGCTTTCGGGGTCCCGAGGGTCTCGAGGAACCCGAGGGTCCCGACGGGTGTCCCCCTGGGGATGGCCAGCTCCGTGTAACGGAAGCAGTTCTCCTCGTCACGGCGCTGCTCCAGCTCGAGCCGTGTAAACGTGGGTTCCTTAACTCGTCTCAACCCGCAAAAACTGAGGTGCACACAGCTGCACACAGCACACAGCTGCACAAGCTTGCAATGTGCAAAAAGCTGAAACGCCAAGGCCGCGGCACAGTGCGGAGTGTATCTCGCATTCTCTTTGGCAGCGCCCTGACACATGGAGGCACATCTGTGGCACACGCGTGACACTGCGAGCTGCTCATGAGGGCCTGGGCTCGCTCCAGAAGCTCCCTGGCTGTCACCATCTCCGTCTTGCGGTACTTCGCATTGGCGTAAGCTGGCACCTGCCAAACAGAGTCGCCAAACTGGCCACGCGGTCTAGCACGTCTATAAGCTCCAAGGGCCCTGGCGTCATCGTAGCCGCCACCCCGAACCGAGTCGTAGAATCCGCGCGGCTCCCACAGGAACTTGGCCTCAATGCCCATAGGCGCCACGATGCCATTCTTGTCAACAATTTCTTGTCAAAGTTGTGTGGTGTGAATGGATGATCCTGGAGTTCACTTTGAAACACTCGATGCGAACATTATGAACGGTATGAACGTGTTCCGGCCCCATTGTCCAAACCACGCAGTCAAAGGCATTCCTAAAGCCCTGGCCGGGGTTTGGCCACTCCGAAAGGCCTTGGCACGTGGCGTTGTGTCGCGTGCATGCCTGTGTGACTGCGCCTCCGCAATGTCCTCCAAGACGTTGGCGTTGCCAGGGAAGCCGCCCATGTCTCCGGGCGACTGCCTCAAGATTGGCACGTGAGACATCTTAGAGTCGGAGCGGAGACCAGGACACATCCAAGAAGATGAACTCCGAGAGGAGGGTGTAGGGATCCTGGCGCGCTTGGCTTACGTGCGTACGCGCGTTCGCACCCCCGAGGCGCTCCGAGAGGCGCATGGGCGGCAGGTCGTCCAAACGCTGCCGCCGGCCACTGGGTCCTGCGAAAGAGACAATCCACGAAACGGCGTCGGAGCAATGCAACAATTCAGGCGTTTACAACACCGTGTCCTGTAACTCCGTCTTTGCGGAGGTAGTGTGTGAACTCTGTCCAAACGTCACTGACCTAGGTGCCACACATTTAAGGTGCTGCAAGCTTACGCACTTGCAGGCTCCTGGCTGGAAGGAAAAGTGGGGGTGGATCGGAGACACCTCTGCTGCAAAGCCATCGTTTTCCGCACAGCTGCATGAATCTCGCCTGCAAGGCCAACAGCCTCTGCTGGTGGCAGCTCAATGTCAGCTCGATTGCCTTCGTTGGCCCATCAGTTTGTATCGTGACACAGGATCGCATTTCTGGCTGAAGGCTTCAACAAGGCGCCGTCAAGATCAATGAGATGCAGCCGCTCAGAGACGCGGCGCCCATGAAAGCCTGGCGCGGTGCAGCTATGAAAATGCAGCACGATGCGTCCCGATGCGTCCCGATGCGTCCCGATGCGTTACGACGTAAGCGTGATGGCTGCACAATTGTAGCTCTCGTTCCTGCGCGGTCGCTTGATGGTGACCTGTCAGCGATTTTCCCGACCGGCACACCGAGTGCCCGAGTCTCCGAGTCCGCGCACCCGCTTTGTGGTCTTCTCCCGCCGAACACTTTGGTGCTTGGCGCAGATCCTGGGTGTGGCATTTGTCAGGGGCCCAAAGAAAACAGCGCGACACCTGGCCACCAGAATCTCCGCCACAACTAGAGATCCCTGGCAAGGATTCCACGGCGGTATTGGACACTGGACCATGCCATTCAAACCCATGCCTCGCCGCGATTGTTACTCTGCCGAGCATAGGGATCACCCGGCTCCGGCCTTGGCTCGGGTGAGACATTGAATCCCAATATCTGAAAGATGTTTGAAAGCATATATGCTTCATATCCCAAAGCACCAGGTGGGCACCAGGTGCCCCGACACCTCGGGCACGTCGTCAGCGTCCACGCCGGTGCGCTGCACCACTGCATCGGCCACACCCCGCAGCTGGGGGTCGCTTTTCGCCTGCACAGCAAGCCTCACTGAGCTCGCTGCGATCCTTTTTCTGTCCCCTCCTGGCGCGCAATCTCGATCCAGGCGTTCTTGGGCTGCTCTATCTCGCCCACTTTCTCTCGCAGGCCATCAATGCCCGTGGACACCTTGCGTCGTTCAGTCTTGCGTCTGAGCGCTCCAGGCCTCCGGGGCTCCGGGGCTCCGGGGCTCCGGGGCTCCGGCGGTACAAATGTCGCCCCCATCCGCCGCGATGTGGCCACGGATCACCTCCGGCGAGTGAGCGAGCGAGAGATAGCGAGAGATAGCGAGAGTGAGTGAGCGAGTGCCGAGAGCCCCGACCACTATGCTGGGCAAAGGCTCCCCCCTGGCCGCTTTGTCAGACAGCTCCTACAGCTCGATGGCTCGAATTCTCTTGCTCCCTCCCTCTCTCTCTCTCTAGCTCTTTCAGTCCTTGATCTGTGTGTTTGCCTCGAAGAGGCTGATGATTCGGTTTGCCTGCCAGGATTTGGAATGGCCAGGATTGCCAGAAGCTCATTTCGCACGGAACTTGAAGACTTGCCTCGCGGCGGTACCGGTACACCGAGTACGCCGCGTAGAACAGAACCAGGACTCCAGCTGAGATGCCTCAAATCTCCGAAAGCCTGTGACAGTGTGGCTGTCCCTTGGGCCTATGGGATCAGGGTGGCCGATGCCGTTGTTTCGCACCTCGGCAATAGATTTCTGAAGCGGACCGGCAGAGGACCTACAGGACTGAGATCACGACGTTGCTGTAGGGTAACGTGCCTCGAGCGAAGCACCATCGAAGCAACGCACACGGCATCTCGCCTGGTGATGTTGTCGGAGAGATGGCGCTGTCCTGTGACTTCTTAGCGGACGGAGAGCGAACGGCGAGCGCCGGTCCTGAAAGCTCCCAAGACTTTGAAAGTCGGTCACGACGCCTCGGCATCGCTTCCATCGGGTCGCACTGCATTGGGAAACAAAGCCGTGACTATGGGCCGGAGCGAACTGTCACCTGAGCCCTGCACGCTCCGGGAACTCCACTTGCCCTCGGAGCCTTAAGACCTGCTCGAAGCGCACGAGGTCGCACACGTCGCACGCGTGTTGCACCTCGTCGATTCCCATCTTGGGCAGCCATCTCTGCAGCAGATCCGTGGATTTCAGCGCCGCCGCTTGGGTCAAAAGGAGAAAGGCCTCAACGAGGCACCCGACCATCACGACCGTCACCGTCGCGACTGTCGCGACCGTCACAAGTCTTGAGACGCGGACCCACCAAGCCATGGCGCAAGGGCGCCGACCTCAGTCAAGTTTCTGAAGTCTCTCGGACCGTGACATGGGCGGCTCGCTCGCCTGTCTACGGTTCAGTATCTGATTCGCCCATGCCAGCCCCGTGGGGTATCGGGCCAGGCTGCAGCGTGCATGTGCAAAGATGCTCGCCCCGCTTGCAACTCGCACATGAGCACATCCACTTTTTAAAGCAACCGATTCCACTTTTGCTGATCGCAATTTATCGCATTAAGGCACACAGGGCTCGCTCCATGGCCATGAAGACCGACATCACAGTCCTTAATGTCGAAACAAATGCCGCCAGCCGCCTCAATACGCTGGGGGTGCCACGTGATGTATACCGATCGCATCCTGCGGAGGGGTGGGTCATGGTTGGGGCGCGGCGGGGCATGGCAGTGAGATGAGCGTTCCCCTCACGTCACTCAGCCCCGCGCGAGCTCCTTTTGCAGGGAAGATGATTCTCTGTCATCCCCAAACATTGCTTGGCAAAATAAAAGATTCCGATGCGAGTGACACAGCACATTGCAAGTACGGGAGCGCCACCCCTTGTGCAGCCCATCGCCGTGGGCTGAAACGATCGTTCGTGGCATTGCCATGCGTCTTCCCATAGAGGGGCCGCGAGGTCAGCAAGTCAGCAACAAAAGAAAGTAATAACAATCCAGCATGTACCATGGCAGAACACACTTCCCAAAAGCCTGACTCGCCTGATTGGCAAAGGTGCGTATGCACAAAGACTATATACATTGCCCGACAAGAGCAAATTGGGGAAAATAGTCGCTCTCTTCAGGGCAGAAACCGAAACTCGAAACTTGGACTTGACAAAGCCCCTCAGTCCAAATGGACACCGCTGATGCCGCGGACGGCGCGGTGTCTCTCAGTTACTAAGTTCCACAACATAACTGTGGCGGCTCGACCAAGGGCCGAAAATATCCATGCATGTCTTGTCGATTTCGATGGAAAATAGACCGAGTGCAAGAATGCAACGGCCGCGCGGGAAATCTGCTCGAAAAAGGCTGAGTGCAGTGCGCCGAAGCGGCCTGTACCCCAAGTTTGGCGGAAAGGCAGCAGAAGCATCAGAGTCGGACAAGGCCCCTTGCCATTGCCATTTCCTGACCAACGGCAATGCGACGTACAAACCATGTTTTACGTGTGAATCAATGTGAACGAATCCCGTGTTCCTGTGCTGCTCACTTCAAGTCCCAGCGCGCCTCTGGACAGCTGCCCAAATGCCGCATGGGAGGAAGCCGCACCTCGGAGGCCCAGATCTTTCCGTCGCAAATCGAACATCGTCGAACATCGACCGTCGACCTCCAATCCTCCGGCCAAGCCGCGTATGCTGGCTCCGAAGATCCCGGCAGCGGGCAAATCGCCGGAGAGCCCTGAGCGAGACGCGCTCCTCGACTCTTACCGAATGGCCAGGGCACGGAGTTGGAGGAAGCCAGAGACGCCAACGAAGCCAAAGACCCAAAGGAAGTCCTCACTGCATCGCTTCAAAAAGTATCGAGGCTTGGTGCCTGTTCTGGCTATTCGGTTACCTTTGGTTGAGTTCAGGGTTGTCAGGCTGAGGCTTTTCGGGGTTCGGGTTCTCAGTCTTACGAAGGAAGTCAGGATCCGCGTGCTGACGCGTAACCGTCCATGAAGCGAGCCCCTCGCTGTCGCAGAAAGCTTCACTCCGGCCGAATCGGAAAAGACAGGCTCCGCGACTCGGTGTCCGGGTGCCACGATGTCAACGCATTCACAAGTTGAGCGCATCTTCTTTTCGCTGTCGGAATCAAATCCCAGTACATGTGTCGCAGTGTTGGCTCCATTTGCTTTTCCCTTGCGGCAGGGCTCAAAGCATACCAGGTTGAAGCATGTGAGCAGTACTTTATTTGCTCTGTGTGCGGGGCTTTGCGCTGCTTTGCTGATGCGAAGTCTACGCATCGCCTTCACACTCTCAGGGATCCGCTTTTGGGATGCTTTGGGATGGCAGCTTTGATTGAACATGCAACTTGCAACTGCATCCGAGCCTATGCCTGGCTGTGCCAAGTCTGCGCCAAGCCTACGCTAAGCCCTTGCCAAGCCCAGCGGGCACCCGCCTGCAAATGTGACATCCGTAATTGAAAAGCAGCATCATGTGACCAAAATAAGCATCTGTATATACATTTGGCGAAGCCTCCGCGGATCCAACAAAATCCCACCAATGAGCAATGTCACATGTGCATGCGCATCTCTCAAGGCCTTACATGTCTTCGGCCGCTAAAGGCAAGCGAACACGCGGCTTTCTGCGCGGCACATGCGTCAGAATGTGTACGATGAGTCATATGAGCGGCTTTCGAAAGGTCTTGCTCAAACTGTCGACTGTCGTCAGGCACTCTCACGAGGTTCCGCGATCTAATAGAGACGTTTGCGGTTTGCGCAGGGAAGCCCACAGGGAGTTAAAAAGCGTGAAGATTGGCAGAGTTCGCTATGCTTGTTCGCTCCCAGTTCAGGGCTTCCCAATAGCCCACGAACTCAGATTTTCACTGTGCGCTCCCATGGGGTCTTTTGGGGGTTTGAAAATGCAATTGGCCGTCGGCTTCTGGCCCGTTCTCCTGGGCCTCTGTCTCCGCCTCTGTCTCTGTGTGTGTATGTGTGTGTGTGTGTTGGTGTTTGCATTTCTGTTTGTACTTGTACTTCTGCTTGTGTCGTTGCTTGCTTGCTTTTTCCTGTTTGTGTGTGTGGTTGTGTCCGTGTGTTTCTGCGTTGTTGTGTTCACGCGTGCGTATGTGCACACGTGCACACGCGCACACGTGCAAACATTGCGGTAGTGCTGCCCTCGCTGCCCTGTCAACTTCTGCATGGCCCTTAGATGCGCGGCCCTGGAGCTCCTCATTCCCAGAGTGGTGGCTCCGTCGACGCTTCCGGCCGCGGAGGCCTCTGCGGTGTACGGATGCGCGCGCGACGCCGCATGCTCTGGGAGCGCTGCCACGGGGCCCTCGGGCCGAGCATCACAGCCTTCCACCTCAGACTCGGAATGCGATGCGTTTTGGCGAGGCACTGACTGAGGGGTGCGCAGGCATGAAACCCCGGGAGAGAGCGGCCTCCAGTTCCTGTACCTGAAAAGAATTCCGTTTCCAGGATTCCAGGACTGCCGCACGCACTGATAAGACCTCCGGCACGCGCTCCCAGGCAGCTGCAGCTGCACCTGTATCAACTGTATCGTGTAAACTCTGACTCGAAGACTTGCGAACGCGGAACTCGGACGTGTCTCAGGCTGGCGCCCTCCTCTGTCCGGGAGACCTATGTGCAATCTCGGGAAGGATGCTACCAGGTATCATGGCAAAAAGGGGACAAGTCTCCACACAATGAGACCGTGGGATTCATAGCACGATTGATGCTGGAATGATACTCGCTCCTTGAGCTGTATGCTAGCCACTGTACAAGCAATGCCAGTTGGATTCGTCATGTGGACAGTGTCCCACAATCACACAACTGCAATCGTAAGCGAGCCCTGGACAAAGCTACCTGTTTCCCTGAGGGCATTGGAAAACTTGGTAGTCCCTCCAGTTGTTTTTTGGTTGATCATTGGGTTGGTTGTCCCCTTCTGTCCTGCCGAAACCAACGGCAAACTACTAGTACCAATAATATAGTCAACTCATGTGGCCGCAGCAGTTGTCAACTCTGTGCTTGGCAGACTAAGTCGAATCCATCGCGATCAAATTAAATGCTCCTGTCCTTCATGAGTTTGCCTGACTCCAGCAAAGCATCGGGGGCCTCATTCACAATTAGTAATTCTTGGCGTTTGGGCATGGCTAAGAGTTCCGCTCTTTGAACAATGATCTTGTCAAGCTGCTCGGAATTTCCCAGAGCATTGCCAAAATACCAACAACCTGGGTAGCATGAAAAACCTGCCGTGAATCTGCAATTCAAGTCTATCCGTTTCGTGGGTTCACGAGACCGTTTCGCAACTCCGCAACTCCGCAACTCCGCAACTCCGCAACTCCGCAACTCCGCGACTCGCCTGGCGCTGCTCTGCCGGGCCATGGAAGAACGCGCACTGCGGGCCGCGAGGGCCTGACTAAGGCTGACGCGTCAAAAAGGGAAATGCGACAGCGAAAGGCGAAAGGAGCATGTCGAGGAATTCGAGGAATTCGAGGAATGAGGCTCGCACAGGTGCCAGCTGCCCAGTCAGTGCAGGGCATCCTTGAATCCGTTCTTGCTCGCACTCGCGCTCCCGCGAAATGCACCAAGTTGCGTCTTGTAGTAGAGCGGATGGTACAACTGCTCCTGCCAGACGGACATGATAGCCGCCCTGACAGCCATGTCCACAAGAGAAGTGGCACTCCTTCGATCCGTGGGCAAAGCGACAGCGCGTGCCATTGGGGCATCGCCTGTTTCGACTCAAAGGCGCGGCATAGGCACGAGGTTGCAAGCCGGAAGAGGAATGCGGGGAATGCGGGGAATGCGGGGAATGCGGGGAATGCTGGGGATCTGGGTGCTCTGACTCATTGTAGTTCAGCCGCTCGCCCACGTGCTTGGCCCACCTGCGCCGTTCTCCGCCGGAAAGTCACTGGGATCGAGCGAGGTGTTGAGGTGAGCAGAAGTGCCAGCTGAGCAGCTCTGGGCATGGTTCGCTAGTGTACCCGAGCTCTGGTCGACGGCGCCAATCCTCACGAGCGCGATGTGCCAAATGTGACGTGCCAAGGCACATGCGCCTGATCCGTGTGCGCCTGAGAAAGGCGGCCACACAACACACAGACACACAGACATGATAGAAAATACTAGTAGAGTGCACATGCGGCACTTTCAGGCTCCCGCATAGAGACACTCATGCCAACCGTGCTGGGTTCCATACGGGCACCAAAGCCTCAGTCCCAAACGAATATCAGTGACATCAGCGAACGTGGCTCAAGGCTCCCGCGTCTTGAACCGCCGTGTGAAGAAGTCCACCACAGCTGGGGGCACTTCTGTAGGAACCTGTCAAGTTCAACCTTTTGATGGTTGCGATCTGCATCCCGATTCGGCCTTGGAGATCCACTCTGTCATGAGCTGCTCCTATGGGCGGACATCCCAGCCATCCGGCTTGATCGAGATCCGCAAAACACGTCGATTTGGCAATCGCGGAATCGCAGAAACAGGAGCCGTCCTCTTCGGGCTTCAGCAGCTCGACCCTTACCTCAGAGTGCGCATCAGTCCCGGAAGGTGCCGAGTGGCCTCCCACCTCGTCCCGGCTGTGCGCAAACGCGCAAAGATCGCCGCGCTGACATGAGGCCACCTCCCGGCTCGACTGTCAGGCCGGTTGCAACATAATCACTTCCCCCTAAGTGCACGCTTCATGCATTGCCCCCTCCCCCAATCCCAATCTCCCAAATCAGAATCAGTCACCAAACATTCTGCCGCCCCTCCAGTCGTATTAAGGGGCACTGTAGAACAATACTAAACCACTACTAGACCGATTCTCGACCAATGCAAAACCAGTACAAGTCGAAAGGCAAAAAACTATTTCTCGGATTTCTGTTACCTCAATTGCTGACTTGGAAACTGACATGTTGAGGGATTCATGTGCCTGGAAAGAGGGGACCCCGTTTGGACGAGGACCGGAGCGAACCTCCTCGTACTCGAAATGTACAGTTCTCATAAATATAATTCCGTCCCCATGCGACTAGTTCAAGACTATATTCTATTTGGGAATCTTCACCCGATGCAGCGCTTCAGATGTCAAAAGGTACACGTCGTTCATCCAAACCTTGTCTTCGGACACTTCACTTGAGAGCGTGCCTGGTGCGGAAAGGTCGCGCAGAAGCGGTGCTTGAAGACGCTCTCCTGGCCGTCGCGGGCCGGGTGAGAGAGGTGATGTCTCGAGGGCCGGGCATGGTAGAGGAGCTCAGGCCCTGAGTCACTTGAGTCGGAGACGAGCGACGAGTCACGTCGCTCATTTCTCGAATTGGCGCCGGGCGGTTGTGGCAAAGCCCGCAGTTGTCTCCGCGGGAGCAGGAGCTGGAGTCAAGCGAGCCAATCGAGTCAATCGACACTCAACCGGGCCAGGCAAGGTGGTTCTTCGGGCCATGAGCACCCGCAACACCCGCAACACCCGCAACACCCGCAACACCCGCAACACCCGCAAAACCCGCAAAACCCGCAAAACCCGCAAAATCCAAAAACACATCAAAAAACAACCCGAAGGATGTCAAAAGTGAAGAAGCATGAAAAGGGAAACAACGAAAGCAAGCGCTTGCAAGTGACTTCGAGCCTTCGAGCGCTCGGCGGGCTCTCCCGAGATTCGGCCATGGAGTCGAAGCACCTCAAACGCCCTCCCGATGCCCCGAGGCCTGAAAGAGAGGCTCAAGCCAAGAGATGCCATGTATGTGTCTTATGCATCTAATCTTATCCAATCTAATGCGCACTGTCTGTGTGCTCTGGGCCCGGGCTGGTCGCAGGGCTCGGCCGAATAGGTGCCCGGGGGGCGGCGCCGGTCCCGCGGGTTGTGGAAGAAGGGGCACAGCTTCCGGTCGTGCTGGACGCCTTACGATGGCGAGCTCTGCGACGTTGGGGAATTTGGGGAAGGCTTGAAGTTCCGAGAGAAGAGTCTCTCTGCGCCGATGCATCGGCCCACCCCGCACCCGAGCCTCGCCCCTTCCGGCAGGGGAAGACCTTGAAGGTCTTCAGGTCGACGCTCGGCCGGCCGCGTCTCTCCTGGCGCATCTTGAGCCGACTTCAAGATGCGAAGGCAAGTCCGAAAGCTTTACAGCCAAACGTGAATGGATCCTCGTCTGTATCCATCTCAACTTCTCCAGGAGCTGCCAGGTCGAGTCCCACGCTTGTGCATGCGACGGCAAGCGACAGGCAAGCAGGCAAGCAGGCAAGCAGGCGACGCCTATGGGTGCGGAGTGGGAATAGCGTGCAGCGGCCCTGTTTCTCAGCTCCTCACTTCAAGGCTCTCGCAATGCCGCACACTTTGCGCCCAGCCACAAGCCTCTCCTTCTCTGAGTGCGCGAAACAGCACGTGGCCTTCTGGCAATCGCTGCCTCGAAGGCACATCTCAAACACATGTTGCATCTTGACGAGTTTCCAGTCATCTTGTCTTGTTGCGTTGCACTTTCAGTTTGGCCCCGGCCGTTGCAAATTCGAGTCTTGTACTTGGCGGGATGATACGAGATCTCGCCCTGGCGCCACCATGAGTCATTCATCAGCTATCTCTTGCCTATCTCTTCCCAGCCTTTGAATGCGCCAAAGTGCAATGCTCGCCCCGTGGACACCTCGGCATGGAGAGATCCCACACGTCTCCCTTGGGTTCTGGGCTGCTGACTTATGCGGCTGGGAAATCCACTTGCATGGGAGCCTAGGCCAGGCGAAAAGTGGACAATCCGGCCGAGCGAGTTGAGCGAGGTCGAGTGTGATGGCTCTCTTGGACTCTTGGAAGGACTTAGATCAAAGCTGGAAGTCTTGGGCTCAAAACCGCATGCAACAACCTGCATTTCCATCACGTGTCCAGTTGGCTCCTTGCGTTTGCTGCAAGAAGAAGCGCACAGCAGTCAGGCACGTCATTGATTAATATCGTCCTTTCGCGCGTCACATGCTGTCGGCACAAACGTCATTTTGGGGGAGAGCTGCACTTTTGAACCTTTCTTGCCGAATGGAGAAGCGGCAGGTTGCCATGGACTGCGGAGCCAAGGCATCGAGCCCCACGCTCCCAGTAGCGCAGGACCCCGTCGGCTACAGGTGGTCGCCGCCGCTGTCCCTAGGATGCAGCGAAGGCTTTGCCCAGTGCGACTTGTCTTTCGTGTCGGTTGACCATTGCTCTCGGAATTGTCTTCGGCCTCGAAGTGGAAGTTGAAGCACTGCATCTTTGGCTTGTGAAGCTCACAGTGCCCCGCCTGCCGAGGCTGAGTCCGAATCCATTCGGCCTCTGCTGATTGGCCTGGAAGTCGGGGCATTTCTCGGTGCGGCAGTACCTCGAATCCGAAGCCGAGCTCCGGTCGGAATCCGAATCCGGAAGCACTCGAATCATCCGATTCGAAGCCCGGAGCCCCCGAATGTTCGAATCCATCACTCGCCTGATGAATCGCTCCAGGCCGGGCTCCTCCGAGTACCATTTCGGCAACTCACCTCGCTCGCATCCCGACCAGACCTTGCCCAGTCGAAGCTGTCTAAGCTTCTCGCTCGCACTCTCCAGATCCTGCGATGGCACAAATGTCCGGCATCACCGCACATTCGCCCGCCTTTTTTCGGGAAGCCTCGGACTTTCGAGGCATTCACCTGCGCAGCTTTCCTCCTCGATTCCTCGATTCCTCGATTCCCATGGAGCCCCGAGCCTGTCAGCCCATGTAACTTCATGGCCAGTCAGCTCTGTTGCCTTTGAGCCGAATGGCGACGCATGGCGACGCATCGTGCAGTCCTGAGCAAACAAAAATTATCCAGGCCCTTCAACCTGGGACCCGTGACATGCGGGCACATGGAAAGGGGCACCCGAAATCGCGAAGTGCCACAGGAGATATCCTGGCACGTCACATGCATGTCACACCTGTCGGAGATATCACATTCTCCGCAAGCCACGGCATCATTCGGTTGCGATGGGCCTCCAGCTGTACTTCTGCTCCGGCAAGCTCTTGCTCAAATCTGCTGTTATCATCTCCTGCACGAGCAACTCAAGCAGCTGGGCAACAGCTGGGCGACGGCGCCTCACGCGGCAGCTCCACAAAGTACTGCTCCCGCAGAAACCTCTCGAACTGTGGCCCAAGTGTGTCCGATCCAATCCCAGTCTAGTCAACGCTTCACGATTTACCTCCTTTTGACGCGGTTTGTCTGCAAAATCCTCGACGAATTACCTCCACCCACGGAGGCATTCGAGAGGGGCAGCCATTTGCCTTTGTACAAAGTGAAACTCCCCCCCCCCCTCAGTGAACTTGCTGAGAAAAGTAGCCTAACAGCACACTCGGAGCAGTCTTGGCATCTTCATCTCCACAGGTCATGGCGAATAAGCTCCTCTGCTTGCTCATCATCGTCGTCTGGTGCCGGCGTTGCCATCGCCTGTCCCAAAGTTCACGAGAAACAAAAGAACTCATGAAACAAAAATATGCTCGTCTCCTTACGTTTTGAGTGAGATTCAAAAAAACACATCGCCTCGGGCGTGTTCGGGGCGTGGGAAGGCCGCACCGGCGTGGCGAGACCTTCCTGGAAGGGCGTGGGCGGCGCAGGCGGCTCCTGAGACGGACGCGGACCGAAGCCTCGTGCTGTGCAAACTCGGCGCCGGACCATCGCCATCTCCTTCTCGGACTTCTCAGGTTTCACCTGGCCGTGTGCGCAGGCCCCGGTTCCGTGGATCAACACGTGCCCAGTGCGCATCTTTGGGCCAATCGAAAGACGCCGCTGGGGGATCCATTGGCTTTGCCAAGGGCGTCCCAGGAAGAACGACCTCAGCACTGCGGCACCCTCCCGCGCGCGCTGTCGGACGCTCTCGGACGCTCTCGGACGCTCTCGGACGCTCGGCTCCATGCGCTTTTCAAGGCCTCCAGCTCCTCGGCCCTCCGCTTCTCCTGCGCGACGGAGTCAGTTCCTCCCGCGGGTTCCGCGGGGCGCCGATCCGAAGCTCCTGCAAGGTCTGAGGGGCCAGGGAGCGCGAGTCCATGCGGACCAGCTCCGAGGCCACGATCTCCCCGCACAGAATCCGCTCTCGAAGCGACTCGTTGCCGGGCAAGACCATGTTGTTGCCTCTTTTCTATTCTCTTTCCTCTTCTTCTCTTCTCTTCTTCTCTCACTCAGGTCTTTCAGGTCTTTCAGGTCTTTCAGGTCTTTCAGGTCTTACTCTTGCTCCTTTTTCTCTTTTCTCTCGTCCCGAGGTCGCAGCGCAACATCCGGGCCTCAGCGCCAGCCGGCTCACATTCAGACTGTCACTTGGAAGCCGACGAGCCGACGTGCTGGCGGTAGTCCGCCGTGGCTCCTCACGGCAAGAGTTTCACCTCTGTCTCCCGACATTCTCAGAATTCCGAACGACATTCCTGGAAAGCAGCAAGGAGGGTCAAACGGAAAATCCAAAACCAATCCCAAGTGAGCTCAAGTGAGCTCAAGTGAGCTCAAATGACCGAGGAAGGAGCAAACAAAAACCGGCAGGCATCCCGAGCCAAAGAATAATCCTGGAAAGCAAGAGCAAACATGGTCAAACAAAAGGTTGAAAGGTACCTGAAAATACATAGAGAAATGCTAGGATTTTGAGGAATACTGGGAGAAGACCAGGGGAATTTCAAGAACATAGAACGGCATACTAGGGATGGGAATACTAGAGGCATACAAGGGGAATACTAGGCCAATATAAGAAAGCAGGCCTGCAATAAACCCGGAGGCGTTAAAGTAAGCGAAGAGCATGCCCGGCAGAGCACGAGAAGTCCGCGCAAGCTTTCAAAGCCCATGCCTGTTCGCAGCCCTTCAGCTCTAGTTCCGGCCCCTTTTCGGCCTTTTCATGTCCGTCTCCCTGTCCTTTGTGCATGGCATAGAGCGTGGCCTCAATCTCCGAGGCCACGGTGCCGATGGGCCGCTCGCTCTTCTCGCCCTCCAGGCCCTGCTTGATCAGCTCCAGGACCTTGACCTACAGGAAAAAACATGGAAAACACATGTTGATAGTCTAATAAATACGAAACAACGAAGTGGCAAACAGAAGAAACATCTTGTGAGCGTTCGACTTTCGGACAGAGCGTTGAAACTCAGAGCACCGCACCCTGAGGGCTTTGTTCTGGGGAGTGTCTTGCACTGCCGGCTTTGGCTGCTGCCGCCATCTCCTGGACTCCCCACTCACAAACGGCAGCAAATGGCAGGAACATGGAGCAGATCTTGCACAACCCGGCATCACGGAATTGCCTGCAAAGCGCCATGCAGGGGGCTCTGACTTCAGCCGCCAAGGCCGTCTTTTCCCGGCCGCACCAGCCTTCCGCACGTCACTTTGCACTCAACTCTGAGGGTGGATTCAGCGCTGGGCGGTGCAGGCGGTCGAAGGCTTTGCCCATGATGTGTCTGTGCTCCCACCTCGAAACTTCAACTGGACGCGTCTCACGCATCTCACGCATCTCACGCGTGCGTCTCACGCGTGACTTCGCTGGCTCACCATGAGTCGCTCGCTCGAAGCTCACTCAGCCTCAGTGACTCAGGGCCCGGCATGGTGGCGCGGCCCACGGCCAGGGCTGTGAGGCACGCCAGGCCTAAGAAACTTCCGACCTCCGACTTTCGAGTTCTGTCGTTCGGACATGTTCGGACTTTCGTGTTCGGAGTTCCTTTCGGCCCTGGCATGCCAGGCTCCTCATGGCCGCCTCCTGGTGCTCCTCCGGGGGCCCTGCCTCGCTCCAACACAAATCCAAGATACTTTTGCTCAACTTCCACGCCTCCAGCACCCCGATGCTGTCGGTCAAAAGCTCCCCCACGAGTGGCAGGCCCTGTGCCTTTCGAGCGCCAATCACAACACCGTGTTCGACCGTGTTCGACCGTGTTCCGTGCGATGCGCGGCGCACCACAAAGACGCCCCTGCAGGCCCGCGAAGCCCGGGACCTGAGCCGGGAAAGTCGGGAAATCGTGTCCGCTTCATCCGTTTCACTGCTTGGGTTCCGGCACATGGACCAAGAGCAGTGCCACGCTGCGCATCCGCCTGCCAGCTCTTCAAACACTTCCCACCACTCGGCTCGATCAGCGTTGCCAACGCCTGAGCGGCCCCCATTTCGGAGCATCTGTCTGCAGCTCTTTCAGCCTGGGCCATCAACAGTGCAAGCCGAGCGAACGAGCTTAACCAGGTCGCAGACATGCCACTCAGGCTTGCCTCGAAAGAAGGCGTCGCATGCCCACTGAAATGCCTTTCAGCTCAGGCTTTCAGCCCCGCTCCTCGTCAAGCTGAGACCTCAGGCCTCGGGCCACTCTCGACTCGATGGCTTGACAGCTCGACAGCTTGGAGCCGCGCGCTCCGCGAAATCTCGCCGGGCCTTCTCCTGCGTCAAGAGAGGACATCCAATATCATCCAATTCACTGAAGCCGTGACACGCGTGACAGGCGTGACATGGCTTTTCAGCATCTCTGATCCTGCCTCTGGAAGAAGCGGCACTTCCTCCAGCCTGGATGCCAGTCGGTCGGAGAGTCGGAGCTCGCTGGGAAAAGTCTTTTTCAGACAAGCGGCAAGTCCGCCTGCACACATGTCGCGGGTGGAATGTCACGGCAAAACAGAGATCTCACTGGCCTCCAAATCGAAGTTCCCCACAATGGCATCAAGCCTTTCCTCGAAGCTCGCAGTCCCCAGATCCTTCTCGGTGTCCAGAGACGGCCTTGCCAGACCTGTGTCTGGGCTTGTCAGACCTGCACCCGTCTGACTTGGGATCGGGTGTTGGACTGGTTGGCCTGGTTGGCCAGCTTCGGCTGGAGCTGTTTGGGCTGTTGGGGCTGGGGCAGCTTGAGCTGGAGCCGCAGCGACCGTAGCGACCGTGTGGGCCACCTGGCCGCCTGCAATCTGGCCATTTGGAACCTGCCCAGCTTCGTAACTCAGCGCCGCAGCCATGGACTCCGTGCCTCCACGCAAATCCGCTTGGCCGGCCGACTCAGACGCTCGGACTTCGCCCTCTCAACCTGAGGCGATCCGATGTCCCAATTCGGCGAAAATGCCTCGCTCGAGCTCCCTGGGCCGGCACCCTGGCTCGCAGCTCGTCTGCGAAGGTGGCGTGGCCGAGATCCATCGTCATGCTGCATGGGTGAAAGGCTGAAAGGGCGCCGAAAAGGCTTGCTCGTGCTCAGCTCGAGGAAACCGCTCGTCTGTTGCAAGAGCCAGTCGATCGGTTTCTGAGTTTCTTGATGTTTCTTTGGATTGCTGTGAAGCTCTACTCTCAACTCGTGTATATGTAGAACGCGTGGGGCTGGCACCACCAGAGCTTCAAGGGTCGGCTCAAGTTTCAGAAAAGTCAGACATGTGGCTTTCACGCGACTTGAGCAATGCCGACGAGGCCTACCTGACCCGGCGCGGACGCGGCACTCAGCCACTCAGGCACTCGCCTCCTGGCCACAGTGGCCCTCTCGCTGAAGTTCATAGACTTTGCCTCATTCGGGAAAACCCTTTCCTGCTTCCCTCTCCCTTTCCCTCCCTCTCCCTCCCTCTCCCTCCCTCTCCCTCCTCTCCCTCCCTCCCTCTCCCTCCCTCTCCCTCCCTCTCCCTCCCTCTCCCTGTCCTGACCTCGGGCGTCGTCACCAGGAAGTTGAAGAGCTGGTGCACCGGCGCAGTGATGGTGCAACACCCCTCAGAAAGAGTGGGGCGTGGGAATTGGACACCTCCAGTGCAATCTCCGCGGCTTTGCTCGTGCCCACGTGTGACGCTCGTTTCTCTCCGCTGATTTCAACTTGCCGCTTCGGGGCACTCAGTGGCCAAAGGCTTGCAGTCTGCTTGTCTCATCACGTCGAATGCTCGAGTTCGTTAGTTCGTTCGTCAAGTCGACCAGTTCTACAAGTCCTACGAGTACGATGTTGATATCGACTTTGTCACTATTTGGTTGACACGGATTTTTGCGCTTGAGAGCTTGCGGGACGAGCATCTACAGGCTTGTCCACCAAGCCATGATGCACCGGGGAGTACTTTGCAGATTGCAGCGCGATGCCACGTGTCCCAGACTCGGGGCGCCTCAAGCTTGGGAAGCCCTGGCACGGAAGCCCCGGCACGATTTGTGGAAAAGAACGTTTTCCCTGATCCTTCAATGGAGCGCGCACTCTGCGGAAAACAAGTACACTCTAGCCTTCTCTCGATCCCCATTCCCATTCAGGCTGAGCCCGCGGCCAGCGAAGCCATCACCTGATCTCTCTCGCTCTCGCTCTCTCCCTCTCTCCCGGGCCGTGAGGCGCGTGAGACCCTGGCGTCCGAGAGCGTGTTCTTGCCCGGCACATCCGGCAGCCGCTCCCTGCACGCATTCTCATGAAACACCTATACATAGACATATTTTAGAAACTTTTATATATATATATAATATGTGTGTCTGGTAAAGTAGAACTGACTGTGTCATCTCCTAACTACCTGAATGTTTAAACCCGTGATGTGAACGACTCGGCGCAGTTGTAGTCTTTTCCATCTGGGGCGATGTACTGTAGGCTCAAGGCCTTGTACCAAACAGCGGAGAGGGCTGTGCATGTGTTTGCACAGTTGGCTTGCGCTTAACTCTCCGGTTGTACGACCTTAACTGTACACTCCGAACGCACTGCTAGCCTAATATAAGCCAGTGACTGATCTCATGTCAGCATCTGACTCTGCAACGGTGTCCCTCAGGTTGTACCATCAAAATGCTGTAACTGTACATTCCCAAATGTCCGGCGCGCCTCTGTAGGCAAGTACATGATGTACTCCTCAAATGCCTTCGCCCATGATCTTCTTCTTGTTCAACAACTTGTATCCTTGCTGTTGCGAAAGGATCACTGCGCTGTCCACTTCTTGCAGTCACTGGTCACAGTATCCAATCTGTCCAGGAACCAAAGCCATGTTGTTGTCACTCAACTGCGTGCCATGCTGCACGATGGTAGGTGCGGTAGCTCAAAGCCATCGATAATGCGGTCAACCGATCCTCTGTGTCCAAAACCTTCTGAATTGGAATAATGATGTGCTGCAGGACCATGAAATCCTTTGTCAGATTGTAGTTCTTGTAGAGGTTTGTGATGCGACCTTTCACCTTGTAAAGCGAACCCGATGCTTTTTAAATGGGTAACAATGGTAACAAAGTCCATGTACAATGCTGATGTAATAGCAGGACTTGTCCAATGTAACCTCTGTTGAACCATGTAACCCTTTTCTTGTAAACCTTCTGAAACAGTTCATCCGTTTGTAGGCTGATCTTGCACACAAAGAATGTGCTCATGTCAGCTGCACTGTCCAGACCCTCATGTATCAACCAACTGACGTATCCAAGGCAATCCATGAAACTGTATAACATCCCAATGTAGCCAGGGATCTTCTGTACCTCGTTCGGCTCAGTGGTTGTCATGAACGTGTATTGCTCCACTGTTAGCGGAATCATCACAGTAGTGTAATTGTAAGGCTCATCCAGCGTAACACCATCGACCGGTTCCAACGCGAACCCTTCGAGCACTGTCATCGGCACGCGCAGGGTCTTGTAAGCCCTGTGAGCCATCGATGTAAGGCTGAAAGCCTAGAGGCGCACTGTACAGCGCAGATGTAAATGGCTGCAGCATGAACCAAAACATTCTCAGAAACAAGTACACACTGTCGTGCAAAAGAGCATCCCAAAAGATGTAAAAGAGGTAGTCAAAGCGGTTGTAGAAGCAAGGGTAGATCCAATGTTATCTAGCCCAAAAGTTTGTATTGCCTCCAGGGTAGGTGCCTGGCTGTACCTAACCTCAAGCAAAAAACATATGCGCCGGCCGTTTAGTTGTGAAACATCCACGTGTGTGAACTGCGCAACTGTTGTTTAACATACTGCGCGCACTGTGTGAGACTGGTTGTGCTGTGACCTCACAGGCCAACGTTGTACATGTGCTTGCTGAGGATATCACAGCTGACAAACTTTGTAAGTCTGCTGGGTTGTCCTCTGATCTTACTTTGCGCAGTGTGATGACTTTGCTTTTGACAAGTTGCTGTGTGAAGAGGTGTCGCAGCTCGATGCGCTTTGCTTTCTTTGATGCACCTTCTCTCCCTGCTATTGAATTTGCTGCGCTGCTGTCTGTGTGTATCCTTCTGTTGGCGCGTACTTCAAACGCTTCTTTCATGAAGCTGCTGATGTAAAGATTGCGTACAGCTCTGATTCCTCTGATGAAAGTGCTTTTGTTGCTTGTGTTCTGCTGCCATAGTGTGTCGCTGCTCCAAAAAGTAGAACACAAATCCTGTTGCGCTCTTCCTTGTCTCGCAAGATGCCCAGTTGGCATCTGTGTATGTGTCAATGTTGAGTTCGCTTGTCCTGTATCTGCATTTTTGGTCTTAGGTTGTGTCGCGTGTACCTTGTGCCTTTAATGCGCCTGATCATGCGCTTGAGCTTCTTGTTGTCAATCTGTGTTGGTGGTTGTAGTGATCTTGCTAGTTCCTTTGCTCCGTGTGTATGTTAGCCATTGTATCTTGCCAACAAGCCGCCTGTGTTGCCTGTGTTGCTCGCGATCAAGCGGCGCTTCATCTTCTGCAGTACTTTTCATGCGTGAGACTCCTGGATGGCGCTGGGTTGCAAGTAGTCATTCCTGACTCCTCAGGGTGATGTCGACACAAGTGTTGTTCAAGCCGATGTCGATGTAGCTGCCTTTCTGTGAGATGTTCCTGCCAAGGACATGTATTGTTGATCCCACATTGAGGTCACCTGCGTGCCCCAACACTACTTCCTTTTGTGTTGTGCTGTTCAGTGTGTTGTCATGTTTTGCGCTCCTATGAATAGGTAGACTGGGCGCAATGTGGTCTTGCCGTTGTTTTGGCGATGATCTTAAACCGTAGATGGCTTTGTTCAGTCGCCGCATTGTGTGTCTGCTTTCTTCGTTGTAGAACCCGCGCGGTGGTCTCATTACCAAATTGTATGAGATTGCTGCTGCATGTAGAAGTGCAACACTCACATCTCCTGCGCAGACTGACCAGTTGTACACCAATGCCATTGTGAGAAGAACTCTCAGTATGCTTAACAGTGGTGTACTTGCGCAGAGTAGGTGGTCTGTAACGGGTTCTGTGCCGCCTTTTGCTCAATTCGTGCTCGTACTTCGTTGTTCTTTTGTTTGAGGACCCAGCTTGATTCAAAGATGTTTGACCGTTGTTCTGGTGTCATGGTGTTGCCATCAATCTCTGTAAAGACTGATTGGTCTTTCATTTGTTGCACCTCTTTCTTCATTCCTTGTGACACCAATTGTGGATCCAAGTCTTCTGTATCATATAGGATCGGTCCTAGTAGGATCCTTTCATTTTCGATTTCCTGTATGTCCTCATTTCATGTTGTCTCGAGTTGCGCGCCATCTTTTGTAGTGAACTTGATGGCATGGATTCTTGCTCTTTGGCTGTTCTGTTGCTGTTGGCCGTTCAAGTGGTTGTTTTTCTGTAGTGGTGCGCTGTCGCTTGCCTGTACTGCCCTCTGCTATTGCGTCATCTCTTTCCCGTGCGTGTGTTGTAGGCGGTGGTGCTGGCAACGCCGGTCGCTTCTGGTGTGTTGGTGATGTTGCTTTGTTTGTTGATGACTTGCCTGTGATGCGCTCTGTCTTTTGCCTTCGGCTGTTGTACTTGTTGTTACATCCTTCTGTGATGATGTTGCTTTCCCTCCCAAATGTTGATGATGACCTTCACGATCTCGGGGTTGATGAAGTGCTTGCAGGATGGGTGCGGCCTTCTCCGAATTCTCAGAGGCCACAACGCGAAGCGTCTGCGTCAACCTTCTCCCTTTCCCGCAGAAATCGTTCCACTTCATCAAGCATTCCTGCTGGGAGAGATGGTTCATGGTTGCCTTCATGAAGTTGCTGCGCCACAATACCAAGTACCCGGCGCCCTTTGGCACTTGTGTGGTCTTCATGGAGCATATAACGCAGGCACGCCGGCTTCCGCAATCCATCTCGCAGCAATCGCCTCCGAGCATTCTTCGTCTATTCTTGGGAGGGGTCTACCTGCTCGTAGCCCCGCCACACACTTCTCAACCAGTGATGCACAATAGAAAGCTCCATGCTGGCCTTCGACGTCGAAGAACCCGAGAACGGTCTCAAGGCCATCTCCCAACTTCTCGTCCTTGTCGGTGGAGAAAACACGGTATGCCTGTTCCTGGCCTAGGAACCAACGCATCCACGAGGCGTATACAGCGTTCCCATAGTCGCGCCACACACGGAATTTGGTCTTCTTCTCGTTCGTTCCATCGGAATGGGTGACGATGCGCGACAGCTTGTCAACCCACAGTTGCTTCCCATTGCTACTGCGGAAGTAGTCAGCAAAGGAGTCTCTATCGAGCGTGATGCCTCCGATTTGCGACAGCTCCTTCGCGAACTTCTTGTTCAACAGATTCACAATGAGGTGTTGCACAATACCGTCCGTATCCCCATCGAAAACGCTTTCAAGCTCGTTGATGTCACCGAGCACCAGGCTGCGTTCAGCAAAGAATATTTTCATGATGTTGGGGCGGTCAGCTCCCTTGTACATGGTATTTTGCTCGATCAGCCCGTTTGCGTGGCAATTGATGCATGTATCTGCATTGTACTGGTGGTCGGCCGGGGATTGAGCTCCCTCTGCATGACATTGCGCGCAAAGTAAATCCCCAACGTCTTCGAGGTAGTACCACTTCGACCGCATGTCGTCGCCGTCCTCCTTGCCAAACGCTTTGCCTTCTCTCCGCTGCTCTTCATGATACGTCTTCTGCTTGTTGAAGTGAGCAGTGAAGTCCGGATTGTAGTGATAGCGGACATTACCGCCTGTTGCGCCCTGAGGCGCGTTGAATTGCAGCGGGGACACGCCCACGCATGCATCTTCCAGGTCGGAAACCGTCTGTGCGTCAAGCGAAAGCACATCCATGATCATCTCGACGATCAGCTTCTTTTGCAACACGTAGAAGAGTTTGGACTCTCCGGCGCAGCTGTAGTTGCGGTCCGTCAATCCAGATACTTGCTTCCAAACGAGGTCGTTGTCGGTGACCACGACGCCCGCATTCGCGCACATCTCCATCACTTTCGTTGCGGTCAGCATCAGGTTGCCAGTGCTCCCGTGGAATTCTGGGTGGTTGTTGACACTCACGAATACTCCTCCGCCGCATATGCTTGAAAGTTCGCTCAGAACCTCGAGCAGGCCGCCGTACTCGTAGTTGGTGTTGATCTTCCACTCGAAACCTTGCTTTTGGATGCAGTCATATAGCGACATCCAAACGTGCGCCGAGCAGTTTGCGACGGATTGCTTCCATCTGCCGCCACTCTTGATCGTGTTGATCAGTCCTCTGATACGAGCAACAAGTGGGGTGTTTGC